GGGACTACGGGTCACTCCTAAGATTCTGATAATTGCCTTCTTCCCAGCTTTCTGAGGTGGAGGTTGCCAAGGAGGCCGGTTGTAAACTGCTGCACAGCCTGCATTCTCAACAAAGACCATATCATCACCAACAGGACAAAGAAACCTTACTCTCTTTCTGTATAAGTACAGACACACATGTTGTTGTTATGTGCTGTCAAGTTGGACCCGACTCATAGAGATCCCTCCTTGGGTTTCCGAGGTAGTATCACTATGGAAGTAGATTGCCCAACGTTACTTCCAAGGAGTGGCTGGTGGCTTTGAACCACCAGCCTTCTGGTTAGCAGTCAAGTGCCTTAGGCACTACACTACTGGAGCTCCTTACAGTACATAAATAGATATACAGTACATCTGTGGTGTGCCATTTCATGGGAGAAGAGCTATGAGGAGAATACAGTGTCTGGAAAAAAAAAAAAAAAAAGCTAAGGAGCCCTGGGGGCATGAACTCTTGTTAAACTCTTGGCTGCTAACCAAAGATTGGCAATTCAGATCCACCCAGAGGCTGGGTGGGACAAAAACCTGGAGACTTGCTGCTATAAAGATTACAGCCAAGAAAACCCTGTGGGGCAATTCTACTCTGTCACATGGGGTCATTAAGAGTCAGGATTAACTCAATGGCACCCAACAGCACACACAAGAAAGGCTAACTGGTTAACTAGTTGCCAGGAGCCAACTGCAACTCATGGCAAGCCCGTGTGTGTCAGAGTAGAGCTGTGCCAGGCTGAGTGCAATGGCTGATTTCTTTGGAAGTAAGTCACCAGGCCTTCCTTCTGAGGTGCCTCTGAGTGGACTCCAACCTCCAACCTTCTGTTTAGCGGCAGAGTACTTAACCATATGCACCACCAAGACTGGCGGGGAGAGGGGGGCAATAACGGAGAAAAGGTTGAGAAACTCAATCATAAAGGAACGCCACAAGTGTAGGCTCCACAAAAATGAATAAATAAAACAAATCCACTCCCATTGAGTCCATTCTGACTCTTAGCAACCCCCATTGGGTTTCCAAGGCTGTAAATCTTTATGGAAGTAGATTGCCTCATCTTCCTCCCAGAGAGCAGCAGGTGGGGGG